ATTCTCTCAAAATCGATTACAATTTGGATTCCGATTACAAAAGAGAGGAGAATGAATTTGATTCTCCCCTTTGTTTAAAACTGGGTTCTTCTTGGTAGCGGTGGAGTGCCTCCTTCGATTGATCGCGTCGAACTTGCTCTCCGTTGACGATCCGACCGTCCTTCTTTACTGGAACAATTGAAGTGCTTGATGACTTCGGTTTAGAACTCTTAACGAGTGTAAAGAACTCTGAACGAGTTAAGAACTCTGATAAGAGTTGTTGAAAACCGAATGTCTGGTTTGATGTGATTAACTTGCGTTGCAAGCTAATTAAGAACTCTTAACGAGTTTAAGAACTCAGAATGAGTTAAAACTCTGTAACAGAGTTGTTGGAACCGAAAATTCGGTTAATTGCCAAGTGGATGATACCTTTGATGAAAGGATCCTTCGGGATTTGATTAACTGATCGTTGATCAGTTCCTTGATCTCCCGAAGATCTCTTCCTTCCGATTACTCAACTGCCGAGATTTGTTGACCTTGGGTGGTTTTGATACCAGCTCCCCTCAACTCTTTGCGGTTTTGATCTCAGAAACCGATTGATCAACCTATCAACCCGCCAACCCCTTACTCAGTTGAGTAAGTTGGTTATTTATAGGGTGATGTGGAGTGTAACCAACCCCTATTTCCGCTCCTTTGTGGGCGAGAATCCCTCAGAACGTGGGATAACGGTTTTGAGGCCGTTCGACTTGCGTTTGAACAAGTCAAAACGCCTCAGTTGGCGTTATGGGCTTTAACTCTGCGTCCAAGGCTTGAGACGCAGAGTTAAATCTCTGTTAGAGATTTGAGACGCACAGGCCGTGTGCGTTGAAGCTCAACTCTGCGTCCAGAGTTTGGGGCACATAATTGAGTCTATTGAAGAACGCACGTTATGTGTGCGTCTTGTACTTTAACTCTGCGTTACAGAGTTCGATGTCTGCTGAGGAACACACAAGTGTGCGTTTTGAACTTAGGAAACGCAGGAATGACTTTCTGCGTTTGAGAGAGGTTGTTGACTTGTAACCTCATCCATTATAACATTGCGAAGGCTATTGTTTATTGATCTTTGCCTGTTATAGGATATGAGAGTCGTCAGATTGTAACTCTCACTGTTGGTTGCGAAGGCTGTAGAATAGAGCTTTCATCAGTTGTCGGAAGCGTCGTCGAATTGTAACTCTTCTCGATCTACGTGAAAGGTCCTCTATTTACCGCTTTCGATTGTCGACCCGAAAGCTATTTGATTGTAGCTTTCGTTGTTGGAGTTAGACGGGAATCAACATCCATAGTGTTTTGAAGATGAATATTTGCCCATAGCTCTCTACCAAGCAACTCACCAACTAAGTCCAACCTTTTATTTCTGAAATCATTACACTGCTCATCAGCATCTCTAATAGTTGCTAATATCATATTAGTCATGCTGTTGTCGCAGCCATCAAGATCAGTCATCTCGGACATGAGGCCGTGTTTATAGCGGTTGCAGAATTGCAGATGCAAAGATCAGAAAGTCGTCTGATTGTAACTTTCATTATCAGGGCTTGATAGGGATCGACTATCTATTGTGATTTTTAGACAGCCTACAATACACTTGAAAAATTAAAATTTGTAAAAAATCTCAAACTTACAAAAATTAACAAAACTCCATCAAAAGTTAAAAATCTCAAAAAATCTTGAAATTTTAAAACTTATAACCGGTAGACATCACATCTGGAAGTTATCAGTAGATTGCTGAAAATTTAATTTTTTTCAAAAACCAGCCCAATGTTTTAGTAATTGCATAAAAAAACCTCAAAATTTTAGAGGCAAGAAACATCTTAACATTTGAACTCTCAAAATATGAAAACTACAAGCACCCAACGAAAAATTTAATTTTTTAAAAAATGCTATCAAAGTTTAAAAATTACAAAACACACCCTAAAAAGCTCAAAATCATAAAAATGCTAAATTTTGGCAAAGAAAAGAGTAAATATTTCATATTCTTTCATTAAAATATATAAATTTAACTTTCAATATAATAAGGAATAAAAATAGCAATTACAATAAATTAAAACTATTCAGTTAAGGAATAAAAATCTAAAAAATATATGGTAGATTAAAAATTAATGTTGCTATATAAATTTAAGGAACTACATATAATTTTACTAATAACATTAATTAATAGAAGACTAAATTATATAAAACAGACAAAAGACTATAATATAATAAGTTAGCGTTAATTGGTTACAATGTATAAATATTCATCTCTGATGTTAATAATATTTATAGGGTAAAAAATACAAGGAGTTAACGGATCTAAAGGGACAGCCTCTCGGAGCTCCGTTATACCTCCCTCAAATTGCAGGCCTACCTCAGCTTCAACAACTTGTCAATCAGCTTCTCATTATATAATTATCTGCTTAATTCATCATAGAATTTGATGCGTCAAAGCTGGAAGCATGTTTTACAATAGCTCAAGAGCATGATATGTGATCATAGATCATTTGGAGATGACATGGAGTAACAAGTTTATGTATAGAGAAAATATCAGAAAGTTTATAGATATCCTTTAAAAAATCAAGTTATTTTTATTTCAAATGGAAAAGTAAGAAAATAATTTGACTACTTCATTCCTAGGTGTAGGCTGTCTAAAAATCACAATAGATAGCTTATCCCCCATCAAACACCGATGATGGAAGTTACAATCTGACGACTTCCAGAAGACTACAATTTGAAGACTTTCACGTAGATCACTGAAGGTTACAATCTGACGACCTTCACGACAACTGATGAAAACTCTAATCAACGGCCTTCACAATCAATATCGGGAGTTACAATCTGACGACTCTCATATTCTCAAGGAGCCAAGACGAAGATTACAAGACAATGATCTTTGCAACGCTATGACAAAAAGAGATTACTTGGTGATAATCTCTGCCCGCGTTACAACATCAAAACGCCAGGGTCGAACCTCGCGTTTCAACATCAAAACGCCAAGGTCGCACCCCGCGTTACAACATCAAAACGCCAAGGTCGCACCTCGCGTTACAATATCAAAACGCCAGGGTCGAACCCCGCGTTTCAACATCAAAACGCCAAGGTCGAACCCCGCGTTACAACATAAAAACGCCAAGGTCGAACCCCGCGTCACAACATCAAAACGCCAGGGTCGAACCCCGCGTTTCAACATCAAAATGCCAAGGTCGAACCCCGCGTCACAACATCAAAACGCCAGGGTCGAAACCCGCGAGGGTCGAACCCCGCGTTTCAACATCAAAACGCCAAGGTCGAACCCCGCGTCACAACATCAAAACGCCAAGGTCGAAACCCGCGTCACAACATCAAAAATGCCAGGGTCAAAACCCGCGTTACAACATCAAAAACGCTGGAGTCGGACCCACGTTACAAACAGCCAAAACGCGAGCGACCCTCGCATTCATCAATGTTCAGCCAACACCCAACCTCGCGTCTCAATCCTAAGACGTGAGGTTAGGGTCCTGAACGCCAACGTGGGCGATTGACTCATTCAAATATGAGTCGAACGGTTTTAGAACCGTTTTTCCCCCACGATCTGAGGAAATAACGCCCACTTAGGAGCGGATTTGGAGGGCAGTTACACCCCCTTAATCCCCTATAAAAGCGAGTAAACTCAACTGAGTTCAGGGTTGGATTTTTATTGGCTTGAATCGACCATTGAAGGCTGGCTAAGGTGAAGAGAGGGTCTTGCCGTCATTCACCGTTGACATGGATATAAGGAGGAACCAAAACCAGCCATACATATAGTAGCGAGAGAAAATAATTTCTATAACCCAATGAAACAAAATTATAAAACCCACTAAGTTCTTTGTTTTTACAGGTAAAACAAAAGATGTTTGACTACTTCATTCCTAGGTTGTTAGATACTTCTGCAGATTGGTTGCTCCTTAAGCTTCGCTGCTATCTTCAGTGCCTTAGAGCCACTTCCCATGCATGCCCAGTCATGCAAGACCGATATTGTCTGGTTAATAATTGACTTATAGGAGAAAACCGTATGTTCAAAGATGATATTGTTTCTCGTTGTCCATAAACTCTAGCTGACAGATGCAAAAATAACACGCCATAGATCCCCTATAATGCCCTAACGATTTTCTAGAGATATCATAATCTCCTCCAAGGATCTTGGCCATAGGAAAGGTAACTGATAATCGCTGAAATGCTTCCGTACTTGTTTTGTTATTAAACATGAAAAGAACAGATGTTCTCTTGATTCTGCTTCTACTCCACAAAAGGAACAAGCGATGTCCTCATTCCACCCTTTTTTTTGAAGAATATCCTTCGTGTTCAGTCGGTTAAGTGTTAGGAGCCAAATGAAGACACGAACTTTGTAAGGAATGATAGGATTCCAGATAACTTTATGTATCGGGCTAGTAATTCCTCTACAGTTCAGAAAATTGTAGAAAGAACTGAGTGAAAACATGCCATTAGGAGTAATGGACCATTTAGGATGATCTGAGGTGGGGGATACATGGTAGTCCCTAATATGATCCATGAGATTAACTCTATCTGCTTGAGATTCTGGAGATATACGTCTTCTCATCAGTGGATGCCAATGCCATTCATTATCAAGAAAATTTCCTTGGCTTCTAACTGAAGCATTAGAAGAGAAAGCTAGTTTAAAAGACTTCGGAAAATTTCCTCGGCATCATTATTTTGGAGTTGGCTTATTCAACGATCGGAAATATAACAATGTCGCAAAAGAATCGAACTATCTCACCACTTCAATTAGAATTTTATCATCATTCCACTTCAATTAGAGTTTTATCATCATTCAATTCATGTGCACCGTGCACATGGCTTAGATGTACGTAGTCTCATTATCGCCCTTTTTCCTCAGACAAATTCAATGTGCAAAAAATAACTTTCTAGTAGAAAGCCAGTGATTAACAATGGCGTAGCCAGGATTATTTTTTGTCCTGGGCGAAAAATAAACATGGTCTACGAGTATGTCGTGAATCACTTTCTTGAGTGAGTGGATGAAAGAAGAGGAGCCACCGACCGTGATTGAGAAGGCTCATGGGATGAATATATGGCATGTTATTGAAAAAATACCAAGGCTTGGGAAATTGCTGAAAGAAGCGGAGGAGAGTGATTCTGGGTTAATAACAAAAGTGGTTGTCGATGAGTTTGGCGTGCATTTATTTGGGAAAGTGAAGTCTGTTGTGGATGTTGCTGCAGGTTCGGTGATGATTTCTAGAGCGGTGGCTCAGGCTTTTCCCGAGGTGAAGGTGACAGTTCTTGATTTACCTCATGTTATTAAGGTGATGGATAAGAGTGAATGTAGGATTCAATATGTTGATGGAGATATGTTTGAGTACATTCCACCTGCAGATGCCTTGGTGCTGAAGAATTGTCACTCACTCAAGAATTGCCACGACTCGATATTCACTCATGGGATGAAGAGGGGCCACATACTTATATGTTTTTTTACATTCTTGCCCTGGGCAGCTGCCCAGGGCAAGCCTTCACTGGCTATGCCCCTGGTGATTAAACAAGTGCATTTACTACTCATTATGGCAAACTTACACACAAAGTGGCATACAATACTGTTGGGATCCCTCCTTAATTGGGAAGATTCTAAAAAATTCTAGAATTTTCTGAAGAACTCTAGAGAAGTGTATAATTCTCTAGAAGCGTGTGAAATCCTCTAGAATATTCTAGATATGTGTGGAGCTTTCTCGAACATTCTAGAAGAGTATGGAATAGAATGAAGGAGTGTAGAGATTCCTTAGAAATCTCTAGAAAGTAAAGATATGTGTGGAAAATTCTAGAGAGCTAATCTCCACCCTTGAAATAAATTAATCCCCGCCACTTATTATGAATGTGGAGTAGTATAAATAGGGGTGGAAACCTTCATTCCTATCCATCCAAGACAAGAAAATAATCCATTTCCTAGAGTGAGAGAAAACCTCTAATATAGAAAGTTAGAGAGCTTCTTTGAGAGAGAAATGAGACAGCTTGAGAGTCCTAATCCTCAAGCTCGAGTGAGCCACCGAAGTGAGACAGTTTTGTAAAATATAAATTCTTGTAATCCTACCATTCTTTTATGTAGTGGAAGAACCTCTATATTAGAGGACTATAAATTCGTGTGCTCCCATTACTATCTTAATTTATAAGTGCCTATCTTAATTCATGTGCAACGTGTACATGGTTTAGATGTACGTAGTCTCATTATCTCCCTTTCCTCAATCAAATTCGAGGTGCAAGAAATAAACTTTCAAGTAGCAAGCCAGTAATTAAACAAGTGCATTTACTACTCATTATGACAAACTTACACACAAAGTGTTATACAATACATAGTTCCTTTGCTCACATTATGGAGCAAGCGTTAGGGTTATCATCACTAAACATGGACACATACTGCTCATCTGCCGCCCCTGGCGGCGGGAGAGCCTGAGTGACGTTACGGACGAACCCCGATGGGGCCCGCTTGTCATAGGCCTGAGCTGCGTAAGGGTAGGAGACGAGGTTGTAGGGGACGTAAGGCCAGAACTCCACCCTTTTTCCGGTGCTCTTCACCTTCTTTAGCACCTTGTGAGGTTCAATGTGACCGGTGATGATTACCCTGCTTTGCTTTCGGATCACCTCCACTGATGTGACTCCTGAGAATATGTTAAGATAATATTTTTATATTCTAACATGTCTGAACATATATTGAGCATCTTTTTATACAGAACTTTAGCTTTTAACTATAATTTTGTATTCTAATATGTCTAGACAGATTTACTGTTTAGATTGGTTGACAAGTAATAGTAGACTTACTTTTTTTTTCCCAGAAATGAGTACGTTGGTTAATTTTGGTTGCAATACTACATCAAAACCGGGAATTTGGTAAGGGCGGCATTTTTATACTTTAAGATGTCCCAGATTGAGCATAGTTTTAGCACAATCAAATCTAGTTTTACACCAAAATTTTGAAGTTATGATGGGAAGTGAAAATAATAGTTTACACTTTAATATATACTCTAGTAGAATTGATTGTCTTGTTGCCATGACCAAAACTTGGATTTTTTAATAATAGTTTATACATTTTTAAAAAAATCTTTTATTTGAAATATATTTATCTAGATTTCTTCGATACTATCTTAAGTTCCTTTTTCTTATGTCCAAACTCTATAAAGTTAAGTGTACTCCAAGAGCTCATAAAAATAAAGCTGTAACAGAGGATGTGTGACCAAATGCTTTTCTTACAATATTCCATATACAGGAGACTGAACAAGCCATAGATAGGAAACAAATTAAAGCTCCAAAATATGATAATTTCGGGTTCGTTAACCTTCATTAAGCTTGTTGAAAAGAACTCCATATTAATACTGAGTTAGTTTGGTTATTATGGTGCATACTAATCACAAATATGCAACTTTTTTTAAGGATATATAACTATTGTCACTTCCTAGCTCGTAGGATATCAACGATTACATACTCGTGCATGGTCAACTAAATAATGAAAGGAGGGGGCAAAAAAAAAATCCTATCTATGGCTTGACTAGTATATTTCAGACTTTCTAAGTACTTGAACTAGAGTCCAACTGCTAAAACACAATCGCATGGGAAGAGAGCTAAAGTACAAAATAACTAAAAAATGTCATTAAACAAAATAAAAAAAAATGAGAGAGAGAGAGAGAGAGAGAGAGAGTTGCACCTTTGATTGATTGAGCAGCATGTCTCACTCTTCTTTCACAACCATCACAATCCATCTTCACCTTCAACTCCACAGTCTGATTTAATCAAACAAAATGTGATACAAATGATAAATATAGGCCCTCATGTCTCAAAAGTGAAAGAGTGAAAAAGAAGAAAGAAGAAGAGGAAGTGTTCTCTCTTCATCATGATGAACTCTCACCTGAAACGGCTTTCTTCTATTTCTTCTCAATAATGTTCTCTTTGTTTCAGTTACACTGCAAAAGTTTGAGAGGTAATCAAGTGCACCCATCCCTCTTTTAGAGAGAGAGAGAGAGAGAGAGAGAGAGAGAATGGTTGAGAGAATTGATGAAAGATTGGTGGTATTTATATGAGGATACTTGCGTGGAGGAGTAAGTATTTTTTTTAGGATTATTTTTCACAAAACCGCCTAAACTTTGAGGGGTTTGCAATAAACAACTTTTCTTATCTCACAAAACCCCCGACTTCGAATTAATGTCTCAAAAGACCTCCCATCAATAACCTCCCTGCATGCAATTTAATATCTCTGAGAGGATAGAAAAATAACCCTCGATTGCAGGAGGGATTAAATTGAGATTTTTTTTTAAATCTTTGGAGCATTTTAATTGTTTTCTCAATTACTTAATACAAATGACAGGGTATATCCCTTGTTTTTGCTCAAAAAAAAAAATTATTTTCCCAATTACATGATGGGGGCCTATTGAGAAAACTGTAAACTTCTTGCTGGTTTTGTGGGACACCCCAAAGT